TCCAGTGTACTGGTGGCTCAGCTAGTCAGCCCTAGATGTAAGTGTTGGCTTGGGTATCCAGTGTAATGGTGGCTCAGCTAGTCAGCCCTAGGTGAACCAACACATTTTTCATGTAGCTCATAAACAGTACAATTCCAGGAGTATACACACAAATGCGAATAGTTTTATAATATTGCTTTAGTCTCCTATGCTATACCTATATAGCTAGGGATCCTGTCCTTAATGCTATATCTAGAGAATCTCTTCTAAATCATATCTGTCCTGGGCTACACCTCCATATCAAGTCTCCTATGCTATACCTTCAGATCATGTCCTATATCTTAAGATCCTCTTCTAAGATAAATCTGTCCTGGGCTACACCTCCATATCAAGTCTTCTGTGCTATACCTATATAGCTAGAGATCCTGTCCTTAATGCTATATCTAGAGAATCTCTTCTAAATCATATCTGTCCTGGGCTACACCTCCATATCAAGTCTCCTGTGTTACCTTGAGATCATGTCCTGTGCTGTAACACCTCTCTTCAAATCATCGTGAAAATACTCACTTTATAAACCTCTCTCTTCAAATCATCCTTAAAATACTCACTTTATAAAAACCACTCTTCAAATCATCCTTAAAACACTCACTTTATAAACCTCTCTGTTCAAATCATCCTTAAAATATTCACTTTATAAACACCTCTCTCCAAATCATCCTTAAATTACTCACTTTATAAACCTCTCTCTTCAAAATCATCCTTAAAACACTCACTTTATAAACCTCTCTCTTCAAAATCATCCTTAAAACACTCACTTTATAAACCTCTCTCTTCAAAATCATCCTTAAAATTCTCACTTTATAAACACCTCTCTCCAAATCATCCTTAAAATACTCGCTTTATAAACACCTCTGTTCAAATCATCCTTAAAACACTCACTTTATAAACCTCTCTGTTCAAATCATCCTTAAGATACTCACTTTATAAACCTCTCTCTTCAAATCATCATTAAAATACTCACTTAATAAACACCTCCCGTCAAATCATCCTTAAATTACTCACTTTATAAACCTCTCTCTTCAAAATCATCCTTAAAATATTCACTTTATAAACACCTCTCTCCAAATCATCCTTAAATTACTCACTTTATAAAAACCACTCTTCAAATCATCCTTTAAATACTCATTTTATAAACACCTCTCTTCAAATCGTCCTTAAAATACTCATTTTATAAACACCTCTCTTCAAATCATCCTTAAAATACTCACTTTATAAACCCCTCTCTTCATATCATCCTTAAAATACTCACTTTATAAACGCCCCTTCGCTAACTTATCACCCACAAATACTCAATTTACAAACAAGTCTCCTTCTTCAACTCATTACTCTCAAATACTCATTTAAAAATCTTGTATTGTAATAGATATAACAAACCAATTTTTTGCAATGACTTTAAAGATAATTGTCAATCTTGCAGCAATAATGTTTGCTGTGAGATGTATAATACAGAAATGGTTATGATAAAAGACAATGTTCATCAATCTGAGCTAATTCAATGTGTGATGATCAAGGATTTACTCCCCGTGTAAAAACAAGCTAACTAAAAACAGCCTCGTTCACTTTCCGACAAGTCAGCTGTAGCAATTACACACAAAAATTGTTTTTATTACGTAACTATTCTTACACCTCATATCTGAAAAAAATACCCATAAAATATTGGAGTTTATTAGTAATCACACTTGGGTACACATGAAAGCAATTACCGGCAGGAGATTAACACACCTGTCCTATTACACAACGACTAAATCTTATTTCACCAATTCAGTTTCAAAAGGATGGAAATCGCTCTACACACAATCCCCATTAAATACAGCATTTCCAGCTGAAAATTTCTTCATCATAAAATGTTATGAGTGCTGGGATTAATTATATTCAGCATCCCGACAGGCTAGCTTCATATTCCAGTACGGCACAAAAATCCAAGCAACATCATTATTACAGAACAATTCAACTCACTTTATAACATCAACAGTTATAAACCAGAATACCGTTTATTTCATGTAATGCATTGTTAAGTTAATCCACATCATTGCCTTACCAATCCTTTTTACTTTTCACACATTTTATGATCAGAAGCTTTTTCATCTTGCACATAAAGGCCAAAAGCAAAAGTGTGTACTTCAGTGAGAAATGTTATTATAAATTGAGACCTAAGTAACAATATCAACTTAGAAGCCATGCTAAAAGACTAACATTCCCCACCCCTATCCCCGAGAATTACTGACAGACAAACTATTTTGATGAAATACTGGGTCATGTCTACCAGCGGTCCTCACTGAAGGCTGTAAAATTCAGTTCCGATATGAAAAGAAATATATCAACATTTGAAATGCTGCTCGAACGCATTTCTTACGTCACAAGAGATTTTCTCCAATAGCAAGCAAGCCTGTAACTTAGATTTTTTTTGACGAGCTGTAAATTAGAAATGAACTCTAAATAGGACAAGTGTGATGATAATGACTGGCAAATGACCAACATGTGGATTTTCTTACTACACAACAATTTCAATGTACATACACAGCATTTAGGATTAAAAGGAGCGGCATTCCTCACCATCCCTCATCACATAAACAACATTTTCACTTACTTATGAATTTTAAAGACACTCAAAATAGCAAGAAAATCCAATACCTGCTCATCTGAATTCTTATCCATATACATTTTATTATTTCATCTTAATTTAAGATAATACAGGAAGTAGTATAAAAAGAAAATGTAGCTGCTAATCTCTTCCAGTAGATTCTGTTTCCTTTTCTAAATTAATTTGTAAGGATGTGAATTATTCTTGGCATCCACACAGAAGTGTTGACGCTGAGAGTGAGAGTTTACCTTTTACTTAATTTAGAAGTGTCAGACTCAGCTGGTCCTTAAAACCGTTCTACACAGAATCATGCTAGAACAGCTCCGATACATGTATAGTGTATCACAGCCTCCCTACAGCATTATACACACAGTAGATACAGTATAAACATTGGTATAACAACTCTAAGCCCATGAATCCAATACTATATAGCATTTATATTATTATATATCACTAAGGTTTCATATTAGCTATATTCATAGAGGAAAACATTACATGAACAAAAATCCCTACAAATTTGTTGCCCTTCTCATACAGTCAGCTATCAATTGACAATAATAGCACTATACAAAAGACCTGCATCTGAGGTGAAATTCAGGAAAAATTCAAGTACATGTTATACCTGTTTTACCCCTACCTACAGTCAAGGTGTCCTGGTCCTACCACAGGTAATTATAGTGAATTACTAGACTATCCCTTACTACAGACAAAGTCCCCCGATCCTATTATAAGTAACAATAGTGGATTACTAGATCATCCCTAACTACAGACTAGGTCCCCCAATCCTATTATAAGTAAGTATAGTAGATTACTAGACTACCCCTTACTACAGACAAAGTCCCCCGATCCTATTATAAGTAATTATAGTGTATTACGAGACTACCCCTTGCTACAGACAAAGTCCCCCGACCCTATTATAAGTAATTATAGTGTATTACTAGACTACCCCTTAGTACAGACAAAGTCCCCCGACCCTATTATAAGTAATTATAGTGGATTAGTAGACTACCCCTTACTACAGACAGAGTCCCCCGATCCTATTATAAGTAATTATAGTGTATTACGAGACTACCCCTTGCTACAGACAAAGTCCCCCGACCCTATTATAAGTAATTATAGTGGATTACTAGACTACCCCTTACTACAGACTAGGTCCCCTGATCCTATCATAAGTAATTATTGTGGACTAGACCACTCCCTTCCTATGGATGAGGTCTCCTGGTCCTATCATAAGTAGGTCCCTGTGTTCTATCATAAGTAATTTTAGCAGACTAGACATCTCTCTTTCTATGGAGTAGGTCTCCTGGGCCTTCCACAGGCAATAAGAGTTGACTACTCGTTTATTCACTTTTGTAAACAAAAAACAATTTTCATAGTGTAGTCTGAAATATTCATCTATATAATTATGTTTTTTTTTTTACAGACAATAACATACTTTAACTTTTCTAAAGCATGCATTGCAATGAAGAAGTTTACATATATATGGTCTAAATTTGATTGGTCTAGCTTATACTTTTATAGAAACTGAGCTAAATGCAAAAACTCAGCATTAATGCTGCTGGCACCATCATTAAAGTGTGGCGTTGTTCCACCACAGGCTAGACAAAAATCCGTATTTTCCCATGTTTAAGGGTTCTTGTATATGTTACATAAAAGATATTCTCACATTGTTTTGATGTACAGCAATATACCAATCAGCTTTTTTTAATTTCAAAGAGATATTTTTATTGTGTGGACATAGGGCAAAGAAATCTGTATTTACATACATTTTAAATCTAAACTGAAACTGATATTTTCAAAGAAAAAGTTTCTGTTATAGATATACGCATTGCATATCAATCAAAATTGATCAATTAATTGTAAACGGTAAAATCCTATCATAGAAACTTTAATCATAACCAGAAATGTGTATTTCAATACCACACAAAACTTGAATATGGCATTTTCTAATGTAAGCATAGTATCCCCTTTTGTAAAAATAATAATTAGTGGAACACAAAAAATATGACCTTTGACCTTCTGACTTCTGAAACAACTAACTTGTATTACTTACAGCTACAGGAACCACTGTTACAGCATTCCTTGATAAAATGTGGAAAGCTCAGAAAAATATACCTTTCTAAACTCTATCTTCTTCCTCACATTATGGGGAAAATTCTCAAATGCATCATTGAACAAGAAGAAACATTGAGCTCACCAGAGTTACTCCCCCTGTATAAAACATTGAGCTCACCAGAGTTACTCCCCCTGTATACAATACTGCTGTACTACTGCAAATCTGAGGTTCAGCATAATTGTCTGCAAGAAAAAATTATCTGATATTTTTTTCCCCAGTATCATGCGATTTTTTTGTTCTGAACATCAAAATCATTGCTCTTACCTTTGCTTTAAGACTCGCTGTTGCTCTTTTTTCCAGAAATCCTTGAAATCTTTACAGAACCCCAGCCATAATGAGAAAAAATAGTCTGGAGTTACCTCCTTATCTCCACTCTTTGGTTTTACACAGAAAAACATGACAACTTCCTGGAACCTACAAGGTGAAAAAGTGAGAATATCTCTTATTGGTGCAGACAGAAAGGAACAATGATGAACTCCTTTACTTTAAGAATGTCATTAAATAAACATATTTATTTAATATAAAAATACATAAGCCTATTGAAATCTGACTTTACAAATTCCTGAAATTTTCTATAATGATTCTATGACCTAATTTGCTATTGAAGCTCTGTGAAGCATTAATTACAATTGGGCATATAAATTGATAAAACAACATACTGGAATTTTAATATTTGAGAAAAATAAAAAGCATATATTCTAACAACTGCTGTACACACAAACACACAGTAATGCATGATACTTACTTTTCACGACTTTCTTTCAAATTGTCTTCTTGTTCTTTATATTCACGACGTCCTACAACGCAAATCACAATGACAACTTAACATGACAGGATTTAACAAAAATATTTTTCTCTCTTAGGAACTTGATTTAGACTAATAAGATATAATTCAAAAACATAAATAAATCACAATTGAACATTATCTATTTCCTGATATTTAATCGGTGAAATAGGAAAATGAATAGGAACGAGAGATGAATTATTTTGTATGTTTATTCAGTAATTTTTTGTATACAAAAATTATATACAGGGTATATTATATAAATATATATCAAATGGTGTTATGAACTACTTCATATCCTTATATTTACATTTGCATGGCATTGTCACTATATAGCCTCTTTGAAAGCTGTGTCGTTGATGGGACTTTAATTACCATGCCGCACGAGCCATAATTACCATGCCGCACGAGACACAATTCTTAGCGTATTAATTACAACACTGACCGGAACTACAATATCCAATGTAAATAAACATGACGGCTGCTGAAATATCGCTGGGCATTGTGAGATTTGATAATGTCATTGTAAATTTATGTGCAAAATAAAAAATAAAATAAAAAACACTTTTATTACAACGAAAACAAGACCAAGGTCTGCAATATCGTACAAAATGCACATCGGTTGAAATCACCAATGCCGGCAATGGAAACAATTTTAACGCTCATGCAATTTATCAGAAATATCGTCTGTTACACTGCACTGATCAACAGGGGTTCGTTATAAATGTCTGAAATACACATATTCTATAGACCTACTGACACATATGTTACAGACCTACTGATATGAGTCACAGCACACATAAACATTCGTCATTTCAGACATTTGTAACGAACCTGTGCTCCGTCGCAAGATCACTCACTTCAAACGCTATCAGTTTCACGCGTCTCGGATCCACGGTTCCTCAGTTTCAGACGACATGTCAAATAACGATGCTGTTATAGAATCTACCGACTGTTGTCGGGTTCCCATACAATCAACAAATACATTCACGCCTGGATTCTTCACAAAATGAGCAAAGAGAAAAGTTCGAATTAACTTCCAAAAATAACTCCCTCGTGGAGGTCAAGGTCCCATTCACGGTGTTCACTGTATTTATCCATGCGCGAAATTTGTTCCGGGGGAAAATCGAAACAATTTCAAATCTAACTTTCAGCTCAGATTTCTATTGAAAAACTGGAATCACCCTATAGACATATCATACGCAATTGTATTGATACTAAATTGTGGAATAAATTTGAAGTGTTTGTTAAAATGTCAAAGTACTACTTTGTTTGCCAATCAGCACGCGACAATACGCTGTTCAAACTATTGAACAAAATTGTGTGGACTGTCGATAAGGCGGGCATTTTTATTTTAATTATAAATTATAAGTTAAAAAAGAACATAAGAGGCAGAGAAAACGTAAATATAAGTATTGACTACTAGCGCATTATGTTGTTTGCTTGCAAAGCTGTGTCATTCAAATAGATCATAAATACCATACAAAAACAGTTCAATGCTTAAATAACAACAAATGATACATTTTAAGAAACAAACGCACCTCTTTCGAAGAATTCAGTCATAATGTCCTGGAAAGGTTGCACGCATTGTTGACTAGCTTTGGACTTCATTATCCTCTCAGCACATTTCTCCGCCGCTGAAATCCAGCAACAATTCACATCTATCATCGTAATTTAAATTGTTCAGGTTTAGCCTATAATACAGCTGAACTACCATCATGCAACATTCAACTGAAGTAATTATGAGCATTTTCTTACTGATTTATTTGTTTATCGATTTGTTCTTCAAATATTATTACTAGAAACAAAAACAAAACAAAACACAACTGATAATCATACCAAAAATGTAATCAGTTTAACACCTACCGTCAAAATCTTTCTTTATTTTTTTCATCTCCTTTTCAATTTCATCAAATGCCACTAGTTTGGCCTGGTTCAGGTCACTTGTGTCAGGGATGGGAGCGGTCAGTCGATCCGAGCTGGTGATGTCATTTTCATACATCTTCACATACTGGGTAACAATGTACCACAGCAGACTTGACCGGTTGTCCTGTAAACACACAAATGTCAACATTGTCACCCAACAAATACTTCCCGATCAAATCCCATATACTGATCAATGAAAGTCAGCAATATTAATGCCAGCTTATACTTTCGAGTCAAATTTCTGTCACAGGTAAAGTATTGTTAGCAATATCACCACTAACAATACTTACCAGTTAAATCTCATACACAGATAAAGGTTTATAATCTCTTAAAATTTAAACATCTTCCGTACTTTTTGTTGTTTTCCTGTGTAATTGAAATTGAATTCAACACATGCTTAGCCTGAATATATCAAAAATACTTTATAAAACCATATTTTCTTGACATAACTCTGATATGACATAATTTGTTCTCACAGCCTACCTTTGTTTTAACATCCCTAAGATTAGGTAATATCTCTATACTGAAGCCATCAGCCTGCCCCCGAGATCGGTTCCCTGAAATCAAGAAATGGATTTTCAAATCTGGATTCGTGTAAGCAATATATTGAAAATCATTGCACAAATCAGTACAAAGCTGATTACTTCATATTAATTTAAACATTTAATACAGTATGCATGTGTACTATATACAACAAACAGTAATTATATAAATAAGTATGGTAAATATAACCAAAAAATGAGCAAGTCACAGTTACCAAAACAGTTATAAATACCACTGCATAAACCATAAGTTTTTTCTATCACATTAATATGCCATGGCTCCCAACCATTTCTCAAGGTTTTAACTTTCAGATTTCTCCCATCAACCTTTCAGAACTACACCCATTAAACTTAGGCTTACATCCATTAAACTTTCAGACTTACATTCAATGAGCTTAGACTTAAACTCATTAAACTTTCAGACATATTCCATAAAACTCTCAGACTTACACCCATTAAACTTTCAGACTCACAGCCATTAAACTTTAAGACTTACACCCATTGAACTTTCAGACTTACACCCATTAAACTTTCAGACTCAAAACTATTAAACTTTTAAACTTACACCCATTGAACTTTCAAACTTACCTCCATTCATGTAGTTTCCTACAGCCAAGACTAGACCTAAGATATTTCTGATTCCCTCGTCTCTCATCAACAACTGTAAATAAAGCAACACATTAACTTAAACTAGAACTGTAAGCTACTGGCTAACTGATACCCTAACTCCCACATAGAATGCTGAAATAAAGTCAATCAAAATGTAGATATATCAGGGGGGGGGACAATGTGTAGAAAACTTCATCAGACTGTTGATGGTTTAATTAGCATTGTTCTGGATGTTACATGATAATTTATATGTAAATCATAAAAAAGAAGACTAGGCTAAGGATTTTGTAAAATCACATAACCCCAATAAAATACCCGGATTGTAAACGGTAAGTGCAAGTGCATAACTTCTGAGAGTGGGAACTTCATCAGAGGAGTTTTATGAAATTTGACTGAAAACTGAAGAAGTTGTTTGAGAAAAGTTTCCATTTATGGACAGATGAATAGATGGATGGATGTGTGGATAGATTAGCAGACACAGGAACAACAAAATTCCAATATTACTCCCCTTACACCTTCATTGCAGGTTGGGGATGTTATACTTGTATAATTCAAGGCAACTACAAAATGACTTTTTCAAAAACACATTAACTTGTTTATACATTGGTAACATCTCACACTATAATCTGATACAGAAAATCTGGATGTTTACATGTATCACACATCTGGTTTTTATAGAATGAACATGGATATATAATATCATATTGCTAATCATTGTCACCTATTTTGATAAGCAGAATATTCATGATATTCAGTATAGGATACACTCATATATTGTATATTGACTTTCATTCCTTTTTCTTGTTACATGAGTACTCTTGTAAAACTACTACTCTTTACAGTGGTTTCTCAGGCCATGTTTTCTTCAATTACACACAAACAGAAGTAGACCATATACAGTATGATATTAGCCAGAGTACTGTCATACTTACATCAGCTGTCATCTTGAGATTATTGAATTTGTTTTCTATCACAGACATGCTTTCCTGGAAGGTTTGTTGAAATATAAAGCAGTATATTCTATCAGCGAAGTCTGGTATTAATGTCAGATCGTACAGAAATCTGAAAATAGAACAATGTCAGATCGTACAGAAATCTGAAAATAGAATAATGTCAGATCGTACAGAAATCTGAAAATAGAACAATGTCAGATTGTACAGAAATCTGAAAATAGAACAATGTCAGATCGTACAGAAATCTGAAAATAGAACAATGTCGGATCGTACAGAAATCTGAAAATAGAACAATGTCAGATCGTACAGAAATCACAAAATAGACAAATGTCAGATCGTACAGAAATCTGAAAATAGAACAATGTTAGATTGTACAGAAATCTGAAAATAGAACAATGTCAGAACAATGAGCAAAACTATCATCTTTTAACATACACACACACACACAAGAGTTATGTCCCTTGAATCAAACTCTAGGCAGACAACACACGGGCCACTTTTGTTTATCATACTCCAAATGGTTGGACCACAGTTGTTTGTTTATAAAATAGGGACAGACCTAGTGATTTGAAGTTGTTTTCTGGCAAGCCTTCAACTCTGTCAGGTTTCACCCCTGAATTATTACAATTAAAAAATAGACAAACCGGTTGATCCACATAAACAAACAGGACCATAGTTTCCATTACGTTGCTTTCATCATGGACTGACTACAAGAATGCTGTTTTCAGTGATAGACCTATAATGAAATGATACTGATGGCTATTGTCTATAAACTTACTGATCAGGTTTGTCAAGTGGTACATCTGGGTGCTTGTCAACATGCTTTTTCAGTTTCTTTATTTCATCCGATTCACCTCGCTACAAAATAAAACCACCGTTTATATGTCACATGGAAATGTCTAACATGATTTCCAGAGGAATGAATTATCTACATACTGATCACTCTCAATATGAAGCAATTTCGGGATTGCAAGAAAATATGATCACTAGCTGTACATATGTGATATTGGTGAAAATAATTGATCAATATCGATATTGGTGATAATATGTTTATCAATAATTAAATATGCTGTTTTTTACAGACTTTTCTAAATCAAAGAACTGTCAGAATAAGTGGAAAGAACAGAAGTACTTACATTGTCATATATTGCCCTGAGTTTCTCTGCATTGACCACTGAGGTATCAAATGTCAAAATTGCTGGAAAAACAAGAGAAATGTTTGGTAAATGAAAAGTGTACTGCAGAGTATTTATAGGTTCAAACTAAGTCAAGCTTCTAAACATCTTCTCTTCTAATTTAACATCAACATCCCATCCAAGCTGTTTTAAAACATACAGGATACTAAGTCTAGTGTATGTGATATGTTGGAGTATATGAGAAAACATAACCCCGGGTCTTTTTATAAGAAATTTGGTAAGAAGAAAGCTAAAACACCAATGTGTAATGGTAATCAACTGTTCAATCATTTCAAAAACCTGTCTTCTGTACAACAAAATAATGATCCAGTCCATCATGACGATTTTATTCTTACTGATTATGACACTGTTTTTGAGGAATTAGATGCTCCTATTTCGTTACAAGAAGTAAAAAATGCTATTCGGAAATTGAAATGTGGTAAATCACATGGACCTGATGGTTTGTTAAATGAATGTTTAAAAGCTGGCGTGGAATTACTTCTTCCAACTTTATCTACGTTGTTTAATTCTATACTAGAATCTGGTTATTTTCCTTCTAATTGGTCGTCAGCCATAATTATTCCTGTCCATAAGAAAGGTGTTTTAAATGACCCTAATAACTTTAGAGGTATCAGTTTAATTAGTTGTCTTTGTAAACTTTTTACCTCTGTACTAAATAAACGTATTTTAGATGTGTGTACAAAATATGACCTTATTACTGATGCGCAATTCGGATTTCGTCCAGAACTTAGTACGATTGATGCAATTTTCGCATTACATTCTATTATAACGAAAACTTTATCTTCAAAGAAACGTTTGTACTGTTGCTTTGTGGACTTTCGCAAAGCGTTTGATTTTGTTGATAGATTAAGCTTATGGCGTAAGCTGACTAAGCTTGGTATTCGTGGGAAAATGTTATCCGTCATTAAATCATTTTACAAATCAGTTAAATCTTGTGTATCAACTAACGGTAAATGTTCTAATTATTTTGAGTGCAGTGTTGGATTAATGCAAGGGGAAATATTATCGCCTTTATTGTTCTCAGTTTTTGTTAATGATTTTGAAACCTCATTTATTGAAAATGGTGCAACGGACTATGACTTTGGTGAATTAAGTTTGTTTTTGTTAATGTATGCAGATGACTTAGTATTGTTTTCCGAAACTATTGAAGGTTTACAGAGTCTTTTAGATAATCTGAATGTGTATTCTACTAAATGGAAATTAACAGTTAACACTGAGAAAACCAAAGTAGTTGTATTTAGAAACGGTGGTAGTATACGAGATAGAGAAAGATGGATGTATAATGGTTTGGAGGTGGAAGTTGTAGATGTTTTCAGCTACCTAGGAGTAAAACTGAAATTCAATAATAAATTTAATCATATACAGAAACAGTTATCTGACCAAGGAAGAAAGGCCATGTATGCTCTTTTTTCAAGCTCTTCTAACTTGAGCCTAAACTGTACAACGTTATTGCATTTATTTGATACGTATGTTTGTAGTATATTGCATTACGCATGTGAAGTATGGGGATCTACAAAAGGTACGGATATTGAGAGGTTACACCTACACTTTTGTAAGAAGATTTTAAAAGTTAAGAAGTCGACTTGCAACGCAATGGTTTATTTTGAATTAGGTCGACATCCTTTGGAAAATATAAGAAAATTCAGAATGATAAAATATTGGTTAAAACTAATGGATTCGAAAAATTGTATTTTGCAAACTGCGTATTCCTTTTTAAGTAGTAGCAATACAGGCAATTGCTTTAACTGGGTTAAGTATGTCAAACATTGTCTTTTTTCTCTCGGATTCGCAGATGTATGGACAAATTATTATTCATATAACCATAAAAGTATTTTGTACATGATAAAGCAAAGAATATTTGATCAAAGTCAACAATATCTGAGAGGGCTATTAGAAACCTCACCTAAATGTATTTTATATAAGCACTTAGCAAATCACCATACTCTTCAATACTATTTGACAAAGTATATTCCAATGAAATACCGGATCTGTTTATCTAAACTTCGTCTTTCTGCACATAATTTAGCTATTGAGACTGGTAGATACAATAACATAACGAGAGAACAAAGACACTGTATGAGCTGCATTTCAGATNTGTGTGTGTGTGTGTGTGTGTGTGTGTGTGTGTGTGTGTGTATGTGTGTGTGTATCATATTGTATGTTGTCTCTGTATTGTTTTGTATATATGTTATGACTGATAAGTCAACCGACTTAAAGTAATAAAGAACTTGAACTTGAAGTCGTTTAAGGTGGCTACTTTCTGCACTAACTACATGATCTTAAATTGTGTAAACTATCAAAGTGTTAAGGGCTGTTGACTTTATTTTTTCACTTCAGATAAGCTTGTTGCTATAACTGGAAGAGTTTTGGGTTACATCAGTTCAGTTTATAATAGTTCATTGTTGCTGAAATGATATTTTTGTGTACATTGTTGGATAATATCAACTGAAGCAAAAATTAAAATGATAAATAGATCTGGAATTGACACAAATTAGCAAATACTACCAATACATGTATCCTGCTCCTGCTTTGCTGGTTAAACCAAAGTCAATGAAGCAACAAATATAGATAACAGTGACCTATATTTGGTGTATTGCGTAGAACTCCTGATGATGTGTCCATAGAGGAATTTGATCATGAATGGCTGTTGGATTTCTAGTATTTAAATAACTGAGCTCAATGAAAAGTATAACCAGATGTTGTACAGATCAACCAAAAAAATAGTCATTTGAATACCTTTTTCTATCTCTGTCATCTCCATCCTCAGACTGGACAGCAGGATGCCCACCACCTGTGCTCGCTTAGGTTCAATCACTTTGGCTGCCTGTAATGAGAAATGCATTGGTATTCATGTGTGAAAAGTGAATTTCAATTAAAATCAAACTGCCTTTTTGACTTATAATGGGAGGCACACCAAAAACCAGTAATGAACTTGAAATCACCAATTAAATCTATCAAGGTATGGACATTTCTATAACAATTAAATCTATCAAGGTATGGACATTTCTATAACAATTAAATCTATCAAGGTATGGACATTTCTATAACAATTAAATCTATCAAGGTATGGACATTTCTATAACAATTAAATCTATCAAGGTATGGACATTTCTATAACAATTAAATCTATCAAGGTATGGACATTTCTATAACAATTAAATCTATCAAGGTATGGACATTTCTATAACAATTAAATCTATCAAGGTATGGACATTTCTATAACAATTAAATCTATCAAGGTATGGACATTTCTATAACAATTAAATCTATCAAGGTATGGACATTTCTATAACAATTAAATCTATCAAGGTATGGACATTTCTATAACAATTAAATCTATCAAGGTATGGACATTTCTATAACAATTAAATCTATCAAGGTATGGACATTTCTATAACAATTAAATCTATCAAGGTATGGACATTTCTATAACAATTAAGTGTATGTAACTTATCCCTACATTTAAATACAGATGAATGTTTGGCCTACTTGTGTGGGAGAGGAATGCTATTTACCTGTTGTTGTAGGGACTTGTGTAAGGGAGGAATGTTATTTACCTGTTGTTGTAGGGACGTGTGTGGGAGAGGGATGCTATTTATCTGTTGTTGTAGGGACTTGTGTAAGGGAGGAATGTTATTTACCTGTTGTTGTAGGGACTTGTGTATGGGAGGAATGTTATTTACCTGTTGTTGTAGGGACTTGCGTGGGAGAGGAATGCTGTTTAACTGTTGTTGTAGGAACTTGTGTAGGGGAGGAATATTATTTACCTGTTGTTGTAGGGACTTGCGTGGGAGAGGAATGCTGTTTAACTGTTGTTGTAGGAACTTGTGTAGGGGAGGAATATTATTTACCTGTTGTTGTAGGGACTTGCGTGGGAGAGGAATGCTGTTTAACTGTTGTTGTAGGGACTTGTGTAGGGGAGGAATATTATTTACCTGTTGTTGTAGGGACTTGTGTGGGAGAGGGATGCTATTTATCTGTTGTTGTAGGGACTTGTGTAAGGGAGGAATGTTATTTACCTGTTGTTGTAGGGACTTGTGTAGGGGAGGAATGTTTTTTACCTGTTGTTGTAGGGACTTGTGTTGGAGAGGAATGCTGTTTAACTGTTGTTGTAGGGACTTGTGTAGGGGAGGAATGTTATTTACCTGTTGTTGTAGGGACTTGTGTGGGAGAGGAATGCTGTTTAACTGTTGTTGTAGGGACTTGTGTAGGGGAGGAATGTTATTTACCTGTTGTTGTAGGGACTTGTGTAGGGGAGGAATGTTATTTACCTGTTGTTGTAGGGACTTGTGTAGGGGAGGAATGTTATTTACCTGTTGTTGTAGGGACTTGTGTAGGGGAGGAATGTTATTTACCTGTTGTTGTAGGGACTTGTGTAGGGGAGGAATGTTATTTACCTGTTGTTGTAGGGACTTGTGTAGGGGAGGAATGCTATTTACCTGTTGTTGTAGGGACTTGTGTAGGGGAGGAATGCTATTTACCTGTTGTTGTAGGGACTTGTGTTGGAGAGGGATGCTATTTACCTGTTGTTGTAGGGACTTGTGTGGGAGAGGGATGTTATTTACCTGTTGTTGTAGGGACTTGCGACGATGGAGGTTAGATCGGTGGTTGGTGTTAAGCTGCTGTTTGGAGAACAGTGAGTCAACCTCCATGAAGTCCAAGTTTGCCTCTGATAACTCCTCCCACACTAGGCGGGCATTGGCAACACTGTAACAATATGTTTACATTTTAAAAACGTTTTTTTTTGTACAGTTTTTGTTATTCAATATATGGCCATAGATTCAATCTTTTTATTCCTGTTTATATAATTTCATATTGGTTTTGTTTTTAGTATTCTTTGTTTATCCCAATAGCCATGAACATAGCACTAGTATTCATTATATTTGATCACAAAAAAAGAAACAATAAATATATCTTACTTCGTTTCCTATGGCCACAAGAATGGTAACCATGTTTAACACACCCTCTCAGGATCTACAAGATAGCACAGCTATACTCACTCTTTGTTCTTTGAACGTTTGAGATCATGTAATTGGATTCTCTGCCAAAACAATGGTTTCATCGGCGACTTCGTATTGATCGGAGATTTGGAGGGCCCTGGAACACACATACAATTACCATTTCCTTTCCACTTCACTGTTTGACTGATCAAAAATCTTGTTACAATGAACTTCCAAATGATCATGAATGTTTAAAAATTACACAATTGTTAAAACAGCTTAAAGTTATATCAGTGTCACTACTCCATATGGTCTTAATATATTTGTTAACCAAAGTTAATGGCAGTTACATTAGTTTATTAGCTATCCAATCAATCAAGCTGGTATGCAATGACGCACTGATACTTACTTCTATCGCTTTGAAGTCCCAGCATGCCTGGAGCAGGAGGGGGTGGTGGAGGAGCGGGGCCAGACATAAAAGGTGGAGGAGGAGGAGGAGGAGGGGGGCCAGCCATAAAAGGGGGAGGAGGTGGGGGAGGAGGGGGTGCTGGAGGATCTGGCCGGAGCTCTGGAGGCACGGTAGGCATGCCCATGGTGTCCCCATTCTCACGGAGTATGTTGATAGGATAAGTCCCTGTCACACACTCGGGTGTCACAGCTGGCGTGTGATACTCAGAGTTAGACGGTGTCGACTGTGGTGTGGCAGTGATTGCGATTATTCTTGACCCGTCTGGTGCATAAACGTGTCCATTGACTAGATCCTTCCCAGCAGCCTCTGCTTCTGCCAGAGCCTCTTGTGTATACTCCTCAATGCCTGCTAGGGCCTTGTACTTTTCCACCTCTAGCTGTAGGTTTGCAATGCGCTCCGCATATTCTTTGACACTTTTCTCGTGCTCTTCACGGAATTTGTCCAGAACTGCCTGATGCTCTTCCTGTAGGGAAACACAGAGAAATATTACGTCACCTTGTTGATATCACTCAAACAATATGTTAAACATTTGATACTTGCAGCCACCAGTTCTTTTATATTTATCAAATTCTGAGCAAATATCAATGTAATTAACATGATATGAAAAGTACGGCTGAAAGGACGAAAAAGCGTTCACTGTGGAAGTTGTACTGATCCTGATTCAATTGCACACTATCTGCAGGTAGACATCATTTTTATTACATACTATATGTAGGTAACATTACTTCAATTTAACACTATACGCAGGTAAGCATCATTTCACCAAGAACTGAGAAATTTAAGCCATTGTATGATGACCTACTTAACAAGCCATGAAGAACCACCTGTATCCTTTTACATACAATATTGACATTGTAATGAAATTTTATTCAAACATAAACCTGACAATTAAACAGCCGTTCACCAATGGTTTGAGACTGGTACCTTACAGGAGAACCAGTTCCATCCTTATGTTAAATCTCATAAAGTTCACTCTTCTCAGATGTTAGAGTAATAAAACATCAAACTGGACACAAGAAAACTAATTAACATATATATTGTTAAAAGCACTGGGTCAGATTCCAACCATACTTGTTTGGTGAATGACCTAAGACAGATTGAGCCAGTACAATGACTTACAGATGATCCGTAGCATTTATTATCATAGAATGATACATTTTTTCTCACAGTTGCTTGGAAGATGCTAAACACATACCAATATCATATAATTCCTAGCAAGGAATCAATTTTACCAATTCCATAATTCCTATCAGAGAATCAACTATACCAATCCCAAGGTTCTCAGCAAGATTTTTAGGCATTAAAATCTCACAATTCCCAGCAAAGAATAAACTATATGATTATCAATCCCATATACTTCAATTCACTAGGATTCACTAGATACCAATCCCATTATTCCTAGAATTTACCTATACCAATCCCACAATTCCCAGTAAGGATTCAAATATACTAATTCCATAATAACCAGCACCAATTCAACAAAGCAAATTAATCCCATAATCCCTTGGAAGGATTTCTTAAATTGCCCTTTTATTTTATATTAATGAAGCAATGATTCAATTCTATAATTCACAAGTAGTATTCAAAAATAAAACTTTATGAAAGAATTACAATAGCAAAAAAGAGGTGTTGGAGAACAGCATAGCTCACCTATTGGTGATATATGTTGTAAGATAGCAAATATCAATAGAACACATGTACAGTAAAACCTTGATATAACGGCCATAATTTCATTTGCCAACTCGTTTACTGCCAACATATTTTCAGGTCCTTTAAATTGTGTTTTTCTTAAGAATTTCTTTATACGTTTCCCTCAATTTATTGCCAAACCCCTTTATAATGCCAATATTTCTTTGATCCAAATGGTGGCAATATAACACGGTTTGCTGTACCTTAACATGTAGTACATTTCAAAAGAAGAGATGACCAACAACGTGAAATAGTCAACAGCGTATTGATGGTGGTGAGCAATCCGATACTGCACATGCAAACTTGCACAAAAATTAAAACAAAGTCCAATAAAGGTGTTTTTGGCACCAAAATATGTATATATAAAAAAAAAAAGGTGCAGAACATTACTAATACTCCATATAAATACTTCAACCTTATAATAGACAACAGCCTATTGATGGTGCTGGCCCAACACCTCACAAAAAAAACTTCCCTAAAAACTTTAACCTCAGGAAGTGGAAAGCCGATGCCGGGGTGACTACATTAGCCCCTATTTTTCGAAAAGGCGAGCTAAAGATTACGTATTTTTGGCAATACCTTGAGTTTCTTCAGATCCTCTTGATATTCATGTCGTGATGAGACCATAGCTGCCTGGTGTTCTGTAAACATAATATGATCAATGTATACTAACGTATCTCCTTATCACATTGCTAGGATAAAACAGCATACATGTGAAAATACTACACATTATATAAAATACCTCCAGCCATTTAGCACTTACAGTGCAGGTACTAAAGGCAGTAATACAGAGATTGTGTTAACAATTTCAAATGTCATTATAACCCTGTACATGACATTGTCACAGTTAACTGTCCCTTTTCACACAATGCCTACTGAAGCCTGTGTATTGCAAACAAAAACACATAATCTTAATAAATGTGCTTACGTGACATATATGTCATTCATTCTATATAAATGGAAATAAATACTTTCAGATTATTTCAAATACAAAAATTTGAAATCTTTTTTTTTTAGATATTGTTTTGTAAGTTGATGTGATGATATTTCATAATGGTATCAAATTTTCTTATACATGCAGGTAGTTGTTTGATGATCATGACACTGGTAATACCTCAATTTACCTTCAACAAGATCAAGCTACTTAATACCAGCTAAACACTCACATAATTATGAATACCGGTAAAAGAAATATCATGGATCACAAAGTTTGTCTTCAGAAAATACAGTAAAAGAGAACTCAACAACTTTTACAATCAATTTAATCCAAAATAAGAGCTAAAACTTAACTGCAACTTAAGGATGAAACACAGTTTTTTGGTACTGATTCTATCTCCTAGTTGTAATTTGAAACATCAACGTTCCCTGGCCTGTGTTTACATGTGTATACACTGTGTGGTACGTCACTCTGAGATCTGTTACTACGTGGATTATAAATTAAAACACTTCTAAAACAATAACATTATATATGATATAAAAGGCAGGTACTAATTAATTGATAAAAAAAACTATCTACTATGACGGTTAAGTAATTATATTCCAGTTCTAATTGTGCACTTGATTTGGTCAGTATATATTGGTCAACCATGAACTATGGCAGAGAAATCATTTCAACAGTGTTCAAACACAAGTGTATGTGCATTTCCCAATTACTTACCTTTATAAGTCTCATCTTGTTTATAAACAGACATTTTTTTTATGCCAATGAGTTAGTCAGCAGCTGGGTTTTATTTGCAGATTAAATTTTTGAATTTTAAGTTTATTGATATTGTCAAATTAAAAATCATTAGTTGAAATCCAACCCTTACCAGTAATAATTTGTATTTTGTGTATGTTGGAAAAACCCACTGCAGATCTTTAGGGTGTCATTGTACAAGGCCAAACGAATACTTACAAGTTCGCAATTGTTAGAGGTAGGAAAATGTACGTATACATACAAAACAAATATTTCAGTCATATATAACAAACTTTACATCATCTTCACACCAAAACAGCAATGTTAGAAACTGATTTCCCTATCATATTTAAGTCTATAATAAACTATGCAAAATCTCCAAAATAAAGTTAGAAACTTATTTCTTAAACACAATAAGTAATAAATAACCAACTTAACACCATCTCCAAATCTAAGCACAAAGTTGGAAACTGATTTCCCTAATATCAATAGGCCTCTAGTTATGACCCCTTACTACTACATTGTATGTACAATGTAAGTAACTTATTTCCTGAACATCAATAAGTCTAAATTAAAGCTATGATCCCTTACCATTATGTACAATGTAAGACAGATAGTTCCCCCTAACTAAACTATTCGTTTATCGTTTATATAAGCCTATAGCTATGATCCCTTACTACTTCGCACAATATTGGAAACTTATTTCTGTAACATCAATAAGCCCATAGCTAAGATACCTTACTTCTATTTCAGATTTAAACCCATATTTATGAAGATGACCTTGAAGCTATGACTTAACCATGTATAGACAATTATAGGTATTCTACAATTTACAGACAATGAGGTTTTTACATGCATGCTGATAACAATATACATGTACTACGATCATAACAGGGTGACTATATAATATGTTGGTTTGGTTACAAGTAGAGTAAGTAAAAGCAAGTTGATGACAAAGCAATGACTGAACTATTCCTATTGTATGACATGATGGCTGTTATGGCTGATAGATAGTGTCTCACACACTTTTACAACACTTACGCATAAGATTTTTATGTTTGTGATGTGATCGTGCTGAAAAAATACCAAACAATTGTGTAATAATACTCATGTTCAAACAAGTACCAAATTCTTCAACTTTATCATTAATCTTCTATTGAATTCCAGCTCAAAACTAATAAAACTTTTATTGAAATTTTGAAACCGGTGGGTCATGAACAAGACTTATTTAAAACGATTAGAACTCGGCTGTGAATAAGGTTGTCAATAGATTGGTGTACGTCAGGACTGTGTTAATAGTACTTTAATGCACCACTAATCGTGTGATTCATCTTCAATGGCAAGGTCATGACCTTCAGAAATCATCATTTAGGAGGTAATGGCCCAGGCAGGGCAGACACACATTACACAGGAATGTATATTGGTGTGGGGGAGTGGGTGACTAAACACCAGGCACAATCAAAACCAATCACTCACGAAAAAGAGGCTCTTATTTCTCATTCTTAGTACAACCTTTCTACAAACTTTCAGTCTTGACCGACTTTACATATCTAACCGTGTCATGACCCAGTATTTTTCAAGGAATAGACAAGGAAGACCTGTGGGGTTTTATTGACAGAAAAGTGCTACACAATGTACATCAATGGAACTTTATTTCCTTTAGTCTGTTCTAGCTATGATAAGTTCTAGTATGCGTACATTCAATCTTGACCAAACACTAAAATCACCCATTTACTAAAACACATTTTTATTTTGTTTTTTGGACCCTTGACATTTAATTTCAATTTATGATCTTAATGAGTTATCTTAACTATTGTACAACTGAATTATGTATGCTCCGATGATCTTATACCAAACTGTTTGACACGACAAGGTCTACGCTAATTCCTATTTGTACTTATTTGTAATCAATAAAACAATCAGTAATCAGGTGTTTGACAGTCCTCCAAACAATACAATGTGTATATGGTAGCCTCCATTCACTGACATGCCAGCCCCATCAGACACCCGGTCATACCTGCTTCTGTGTACTTAAGTCCATGCTGATTGTCTTGGTCAGACAGGTTGGGTGGCCACATGGGCGTCAGCTTGCCAATGTCAGCATTCTGTTTGGTCACTGGGTGCTCCGTGTGGGTCCAGTAGTACATACAATCCGTCTAAAACATACAAAAACCTCATTAGTCATTCCAATCAACAGCTATCAATAATGACAGACTTTTAAACAAATTTTATATTGACATATGTATATCACAAGAAAGCATGCCTGTATATGACATTTCAATTTACAGAGCTATATCTGAACACATTTTAAACTCAACAGATGCTCTTAAAAATGAAAAATACATCTAATTTAACTGAAACTGTATGACAATAAATGCCAGCTGTGTATCTAGGCTATTCATTTTATCATGGTTTTCTGGGTTACCATAGATCCTAAAATACGTGACATTTTTCCCCCCCCCCCCCCCCCCAAAAAAAATGAAAAAAAAAGTTTACATCACGCATATTTTTCAGACAGTTAATCAAAATATCTAAAAGAAGTACTCAGAAATTAGCATGAGACATATTTTCATATATAATCAGTTTAATAATATTAAAAGTTATATAAAGAGTAAATTAAAATAGTGAAGGAAAGTAATCCCAAATAACTGCTGTTATAAAGGATGCCGCCTTAAGATAAATAGCATTTATACCATATAATCAATACAATATTCATATCTAAATTCAGAATATACTTCAGATACGTGACATTCTGCGTAACATCCTGTAGTCTATGACAGTTTGTCAGCTGTCATTCCCCTTTCAAATCTAAGAGTGCTGCTGACCCAGTATCCTATATCCCCTCTGCACCCTTGGGTTTATTAATTAGCTAAACTGAGTATCCTTTTTTACCTGTTGTATAGTAGGACCAGTATTGCCTGCAGAAAAATTCTCACTGAAATTTTCAGTAAAATTCAGCATCATTAACTATTTTATAAATTTGACCACAAAAAGTCCATGTACATCCAATATATCTTTAAGACAAATGTCAGAAAGTGATCACAGATTCGTAGAACATCTATGTATATCCAATATATAGTAGGTGTTATCGTTGATATAGACTACACCGACACAAAGAGACAGTGGAGGTGAGAGGTTCCTTGTCCATCACATAAACAGTACATGTCACACCACATAATATTGTCATACAAATCTGGGCAAGTCTCCAGCTCCAAAATATTTCCACTTTTATGAATGAAATTTAAACACTTTGACACAAGGCGTAAATATGAATGGAATTTCATTTTAAATACCAATGCGGGTCTCCACACAAAATGACTGTACAAGCTCGGCAATAATTACTACGATTATATCTCTGTCAGATGGCCTGAAGGCGTCACTCTTTCATTGTGATTATGTCTATTTGTATTTCATGCTTGGCCAAGACGAAAATGATTGATTTAATCAACATCGGTAACATAGACATAAATAACACTGGCGTGTATAATATCGTATCAAAATAAATACTCTGCTATGATTATTTATAACGATGAATTTATCAACCTGATTTTTGTTTTTACAAAAGATGGAGTAGAGCTAATAATATATATACAAATGTAGGACAATACTATTGTAATACATCAGATGTAGATTAAGATGAATTTATTGTCTCAGCATTTACATATAAGATGTGTTCAGGAATACAGGCTGTAGCGGATAATANTCGAAGAACACAGCGACAAGGTGTTCTTTCTTGGCGAAAGCCTCTCGAATGAACGTCTCTAATCTGATGAGATGGTCATTTGTCCCTCTTTAATGAGTGGTAAGTACCTCAGGTGTACATAATATATATGAGCAACATTCACGTACATTACATGGTTGCTACTGTCAGATGAAAATTCAAACAAAGTTGAAAAACTTAAGTCTAGTTAGCATGCAGCAATTATAAGATAATAAGACTTCCAGATTAGAATATATTGAATATATACTAAGATAGGGTAAGATGAATTAGCTTACTGAAGTTTTCCTTGTGGGTAATGAAATCCAAATAAACCACCCATGACGGAAACTGTAGTTTGTGACATATATAAAATTAAGAATCCCACTAAAGTAGATGTATGTGCCAACTGTACCTCTAGATCTGGCGGCCATGTTGATTTTCAGATTTGGTAAAACATCCAAACCCACAGTTTATACAAAATTGACGTCCCCTTGGCCCAAGGATGCTTCAGACCAAATTGGTATGAAATCCCTTAACCTGATGGTAGAAGAAGGATTTTAAAGGTTTACCTCTATTTCCCCTATTCGGCCCAACCCCTCTGCCCCAAGGGTAGCCACATCCACCGTTTATACAAAATTGAGTCCCCTTGGACCGATGATGTTCCAGACTAAATAAGGATAAAATTCCTTAATCCCTATGGTAGAAGAAGGATTTTAAAGGTTATACCTCTATTTCCCCTATCAGGCCCCACTCTTCTGAAAACAGGGGGAGGCCATACCCACCATTTATACAAAATTGAGTGCCCTTGGCCCAAGGATGCTCCACACCAAATTTAGTTAAATTCCACTAAGCAGTTCAGGACTAGTAGTGTTTTAAAGGAAAAACTGACGGACCTATGGTGATGAAATCGAAGATATTGGCTGCACTACTACTATATTGAATTTCAGATTTGGGTCAAAATCAAAGGTAATTGTGGGTAGTTTCATGAAAATCAAAGGTAATTGTTGGTAGTTTCATGAAAATCAAAGGTAACTGTGGGTAGTTTCATGAAAATCAAAGGTAATTGTGGGTAGTTTCATGAAAATCAAAGGTAATTGTAGGTAGTTTCATGAAAATCAAAGGTAATTGTGGGTAGTTTCATGAAAATCAAAGGTAATTGAGGGTAGTTTCATGAAAATCAAAGGTAATTGTGGGTAGTTTCATGAAAATCAAAGCATTGCAGGGAAACAACAACAGATTCTTCCAACAGAGATAGAGTGATCTCTATAATTTCATCTCCGTTATATATGGCAGGCGACAGAAAAACTTGACACTGTGTACAGATATTACTGCTTTCCATAACCCATGGTGCTGTCAGGAACCATATTGATTAACGGTACATTGGTCTTAATTAGCTGATTCAAATAAAACTTAAGTTAATTCTAGTTTCCGCTTAATTATCAATTAAATCACTTTAAAGGGGCTGGTCGGGGAAAAAAATACCAAGAAATGGGTCTAAATGTGTTCTCTGGCCTTCCAAAAGTTATACCACGTTAATATGATGGTCGATTTCTGCTTGCAATGTCCAGTTTTGACCACTGAAATCTCGGGGAAGCCCTGCATAAATATAGCGCAGATCTATTTATATATGTCAAGTGTTTGTTTCGAAAGTGAGGCAGTGAAGATAACAACAATAGCACACCCTCATGTGCCATGTCGGACTCAACTAGCTGACAAGACAGCAATACTATACGTAAATGATTGTTTTCAAGGGTCATGTATGATGCAAGTGTAGTATTCCTACCTATATGTTGTTGTTATATATAACGGTATTGATACCTTGTGCCTGTCATGACTTTTGCATGCATCTTTTTCTTTCGCCGCGATGTTTACATTTGGCCTTGTTGATGACGCGAGTGCGGTAAAATTACATCCCTGATCTCGGTCAATTGAGAGTTTTAGACTGTCAGGTGATGATTTAGGATTTCTTTAATTATAATTTTTACTCTAAGGGAGTGAATTTCAGTAAAGTTTGAATCGGTAATTTCATAAGAAGGTATTTTAAACATATGTATGCCATTTTAGCAAATATGACATTTTTTCCCCGACCAGCCCTTTTAAATTAAAATTCCACCTAGTTTATATTAAGTTAAAGGATGTCTGTCCAGGGCCTGTAACGTTACTTAGCTAGAGATGACATATACATTGTTAAATTGTCACAGGTAAGGAGTCAGTTATATCAGTGTAGCTCATTTCTCATTAATGATTAATGAAAACAGGCAAACCTACTGTCTACCGTCCCAGTACATGTTGTATTAAATTTGATAGGATACACCTGTATCCATCATACCTCTACCTGATCAGAGTTGCTGGTATATAGGAATTTAGTAAGTAAGTCAGCTAGCTACACACATTATCAGCTGGTCCACTGTATACTAAAGGTTTAAAGAATTTTCATAAATTCTGAATCCGACTCAGCTGGATAGAAAAAATCAACGCAACAAATAGTCGCTGTCAACTCTATTCCTGTAACGAAGGTCCAGGTGCAATCACCCGAACCTGAAGGGAAGACGACATGCATACACGTACCTTTATACTGTAATATCAGGAACTTACACAGAACAGTTCTCTATGCAACTCATATTAATTGCTTCAACAGAATTGGTTCTCATCCCGTTATAACCAAACATCTCTCAGTAAACTTGAAACGACCTCAACAGGACTGATTCTCACCTCACCATGATCACCCACGATACGAAGGACATGTCAGTTAATCTACAATCACCTGTTAGATAACCACCTGACCAACAATCTAAAACGTGGTCAATTAATTTCTGGATCTACCTGTAAAGTATAGGGGAGATCAAACAGTCGGTTGGCAGTGTGTTTATACATATTAATCCTGGGGTCTGTATCTACCCCAACTTGGTTATATATATATGGAGGCCAGGAGACTGAGGCCAAGTCCAATACACACCTATCAGACCCATCAATTTAACTTCAGGCTGAAAATGTTCAGAACTTTATCTTTGCCCATAAAGGTATCTACAGTAAAAGCATACTGTAAACAGTAGCATTTTGATGAAAGGTTAACAACAGATAATGGGCCCGTGGATATAGTGCTACATTGTAAGATTGTAAGCGATACATTATCAAATGGTTCTGGGCAGGTTACCAGTACACTGTTAGATGGTTCTATGGGCAGTGCTACAATGGTAGATGGTTTTATGGAAAATGCTAATCGTTAGATGGTTCTATGGGCAGTGCTACATTGTTAAATGGTTCTATGAACAATTCTTATTGTTAAATGGTTCTATGAACAATTCTTATTGTTAGATGGTTCTATTGACAATGCAACATTGTTAGATGATTATATGGGCAGTGCTACAATGGTTGATGATTTTATGGCCAAATTTACATTGTTAGATGGTTCTATGAAGAGACTTACATTGTTAGATGGATCTATGAGCAGACTTA